TACTGAGACTTTTAAATCATACTGAGATTAAGAGCTCTAAAATGCATCTGTGATGGATATTTGAATAAGACAATGAAAACTATTGTTAAATATTAACTATTCCAATTATCTTTTTTTAAAGTATTGTCTTGTATCTTTGTATAACACTTGCTTTAATTGATTGTGCTCATCTTTACCTATCTCTAAACCAGTGGTTCTCAACCTTTCTAATGCCGTGACCCCATAATACAGTTCCCCATGTTGTGGTGACCCCCAAGTGGGTGTGGCCACCAATAAGAGGGAGTAGGACAGCTAGGGAAAAGGGAAAAAAATGGCGGACAGCGTGGTTTGGCGACCCCCGTGAAATGGTCGTTCGACCCCAAATGGGGTCCCGACCCACAGGTTGAGAACCACTGCTCTAAACAATTTCATTACTTTTTTTACTGAAATAGTTTAAATTATACCCTTATTGTAGTATACAAACTTATGTCATTAACAATGAGTGGTCCCTAATATTAATAATGATAGTAATAATAATATTCTAACATCACATAGAAAGTAATACGGGTAGTCCTTGTTTTTCAGCTGCCTCATTTAGGATCCATTTGTAGTTGTGACAGTAATGAAAAAGTAACTTTGTGACAAATCCTTGTATTTACAATCTTTGTAGGTCTATAAAACAAAAGAAAAACCAAAATAAACACAGCCATGGTTTCACTCAATGACAATTTCACTTAATGACCAAGCTGCTGGTCCCAATTGTGGTTGTTAAATGAGGTCTAGATGTAGAAGATAATAAAAGATAAGGAATCCTGAGAAAATGTGTGAACATCCCATCAGAGATAATATAGGATTTGGATACCAATGTAATGATTTTTTTCCATTTAGTCTGCAAAAATGAAGGTATATAATAGCATTCCTATTTGTGTTAATGCAGCTTATACAGATTTTTACGCTGGGATTTAGATGGAAATCCCCATTTATGACCATGGTGGCTATGGATGATTTATACTTGTACTTGTGGATTCATATACAATCATTCATTTAGTTACTGTTCAAAATCACAATGGCACTGAAAAAATGACTTATGACCATTTTATATAAGTAGTCCTAGAATTACAAGTTACAGTGGCATTGAAAAAAGTGACTTATGAGCGATTCTCACACTTACAACCATTGCAACACCCCTATGGTCATGTGATCAAAATTCAGCCACTTGGCAATTGGCTTGTATTTATGACGGTTGCAGTTTCTCAGGGTCATGTAATCATCTTTTGCGACCTTCTGACAAGCAAAATCAATGGGGAAGCCAGATTCACTTAACAACTGTGGCAAGAAAGATAATACAATGGGGCAAAGCTCACTTAACAACAGCCTCCTTTAGCAACAGAAATTTTGGGCTCAATTGTGGTCATAAGCCAAGGATTACCTGTACACTTATGACTGTTACAGCATCCCTGTAGTCACATGATCAAAATTTGGACACTTGGCAACTGGCAGGTATTTATGATGATTGCAGTGTCTGGGGTCATGTGATCACCTTTGGCAACCTTCTGACAAGCAGTCACAACAACCATGTTACTTACTTAACTTCAGCGATTCATTTAACAACTGTGGCAAGAGAAGTCATAAAATGGGGCAAAATTCACTTAACAACTGTCTTGCTTAGCAATGGAAATTTTAGGTTCAATTGTGGTCATAAGCTGACGACTATCTGTAGGCACATGTGAGTAGAGACCCTTCAACAGAACTGCATGCATCAAAGACTCCATTAATGACATATGCTGCATGTCATCCCTTATAGACAAAAAATAATAAGCCGCAACAGTTCATAGGAATTTGGTGATTTCCCTTTGAGGATTATGGACAACATATGTTAATCTCTTTTTTTCCGACCTGTTATCCTTTCAGTAAAAAAGCAAATTGCCAAATGCTATAATTAACTAGGAATTCTTTTTAAGCTAATGAAAAGATTTCTGCTATAGAATTGATTCCGTACTTTGCTTTATTGAGATAAACTAAGAATGAGTCATTTGGAGATGGAATGATATACAGTCCAACAAGTGAGGTCAAAATCAAGCTCTTCAACATCCAGTGATTTTTATTTGTTACTTTGCTGATATTAAATTAAGGTGGTTGCAGTGATTCTCTTTTAGTTATAAAATGCAAATTAGATGTGTGGGTGCACTAATAAAAGGATTCAGAAATAATCTGAACAAGAACGTAATGACAGCATATCGAACAATGGAGCACTCATTTGGAAAAATTGTATTCCACTTGTAGTGTCATTTGTTATGAAAGAGGCATCAGTAGTTCCCATTTAAAAAAAAAAAAAAACCTGATGAGTGGGTTATGAATATAATGTATTGGTAAGTAATTCTTGAAATAGACCGATAATGGGCCAAAACTTTAAAAAGGTATTTTGATTTATAACACCGGCTACGTTAGTGTAAATTCCTATGATTAGTTTTTCTTTCAAAAGTATTTGCTTTCATATTTGATAAAGTATATATATTTTTTCTGAATCGACCATACACCTAGTTTTTGCTTTGACATGTCATTGTAGTAGATATATTGTCAACACATTGGAAAAGGCGCCCCAGCAATCCAGCCGCTCTTTTAAAACATTCTACATCTTATGATTTTGAGTGAATTTGTCAGTTCCATTCATCCTTGCCCAGCTGATAAATATATTTAGTTAACTTCTTGATTTTAGAACAACGGCTCATCTGGCCCCTTCCTTATGTAATTCTTACAAATGTGAACTGGAAGTTCTTATTTTCTGTCAGTCCCAACATTTACAAAATAAATATCAACAGTAGGAAATAGCAGTAAAGCTGTATAGATAGTTCTTGTTTAGCGATCATGGTTGGGATCTGCAACTTATCATTAAGCAAAGCATTTGCTAAATGAAACCATGATTGTGCTTATGACCTTTTCAGCTTTCCTTTGTTTTACAGACCTGAAATGCAAGGACTGGTTGCAAAGTTATTTTTTAGTAAAGTAGTAATAGTAGTAAAGTTGGAAGGGACCTTGGAGGTCATCTAGTCCAACCCCCTGCTCGGGCAGGAAACCCTACACCATTTCGGACAAATGGCTGTCCAGTCTCTTCTTAAAAACTTCCAGTGTTGAAGCATTTACTGCTTCTGGAGGCAGGCTGTTTCACTGATTAATTGTTCTCACTGTCAGGAAGTTTCTCCTTAGTTCTAGGTTGCTTCTCTCCTTGATTAGTTTCCACCCGTTGCTTCTTGTCCTGCCTTCAGGTGCTTTGGAAAATAGCTTTATTCCCTCTTCTTTATGGCAGCCCCTGAGATATTGGAATACTGCTATCATGTCCCCCCTTGTCCTTCTCTTCGTTAAACTAGACATACCCAATTCTCGCAACCGTTACTTATATGTTTTAGCCTCCAGTCCCATAATCATCTTTGTTGCTCTTCTCTGTACTCTTTCTAGAGTCTCAACATCTTTTTTACATCGTGGTGACCAAAACTGGATGCAGTATTCCAAGTGTGGCCTTACCAAGGCATTGAAGAGTGGTATTAATACTTCACGTGATCTTGATTCTATCCTCTGTTAATGCAGCCTAGCACTGTGTTGGCCTTTTTGGCAGCTGCAGCACACTGCTGGCTCATATTTAGGTGATTGTCTACTAGGACTCCGAGGTCCCTCTCACAGTTACTACTATTGAGCATGGTGCCACCTATGCTGTACTTGTGCATTTGGTTTTTCTTGCCTAAATGTAGACCCTTGCTTTTTTCACCATTGAATTTCATTTTGTTAGTTAGTGCCCAGTGTTCAAGTCTGTCCAGATCCTTCTGTACCTGAAGCCTGTCTTCTGGAGTGTTGGCTATTCCTGCCAGCTTGGTGTCATCTGCAAATTTGATGAGTTCCCCATCTATCCCTTCATCCAAATCGTTGATGAAGATGTTGAAGAGTACTGGCCCAGAACAGAGCCCTGGGGCACCCCACTACACACTTCCCTCCATATAGATGCAGTTCCATTGAGGACCACTCGCTGAGTACGGCCGGTCAGCCAGCTACAGATCCATCTGGTGGTGGTTCTGTCTACCCCACATTTTTCTATCTTGTCAGTTATCTTCATAACTGCAAATGATCACTATGCAAGGCAATTGTTAAGCAAGGTCTACCTGTATTTGCTAAAAAGCAGAGACATCACCCTGCCAACAAAAGTGCGTATAGTCCAGGCCATGGTTTTCCCAGTTGCAATGTATGGCTGTGAAAGTTGGACCATAAGAAAGGCTGAGCGCTAAAGAATTGAGGCCTTTGAACTATGGTGCTGGAGAAGACTCCTGCGAGTCCCTTGGACTGCAAGGCGTTCAAACCGGTCAGTCCTAGAAGAGATCAACCCCGACTGCTCTTTAGAAGGCCAGATCCTGAAGTTGAAACTCAAATACTTTGGCTACCTAATGAGAAGGAAGGACTCACTGGAGAAGGGCCTAATGCTGGGAAAGATTGAGGGCAATAGAAGAAGGGGATGACAGAGAATGAGATGGCTGGATGGAGTCACTGAAGCAGTAGGTGTGAACTTAAATGGACTCCAGAAAATGGTAGAGGACAGGAAGACCTGGAGGAACGTTGTCCATGGGGTCGCGATGGGTCAGACACGACTTCGCAATTAACAACAACAACTTGCATTTGAAAAGCAGTCAAATTTCATTACGTTTAATAGCTATGTCTCCTCTTTGCTTTCATCATATATAGTCCCTTTGTGAGGAAAGTGAGTTATTTCAAAATATGATAGATAAATAATAGTATCCCTTTATTCTTTAATTCAGTCACTTTGCAGTCTTCACATGTCAGTACAGTGGCTTTAGGTGCTCACTCAGATATTATTTCAATGGCTTGACAAAGCCTGATGACTAAACCCTTAAGCAGCACAAATGACGCTTGGCATTGTGTTTGCATTTAAATGAATAAAAGAAACCTGTTGCTTTAAATCAAGCTTGCTGTGACTCTGGAAACAAAGTAAACAGTGTCTTGGTAAAACCTTGTTCCAAACACATAGTCTGATGACAGGTACTCTGACTGAAGGTCATTGCTGTTCTCCAAAAGGATTTTCCCAGTCCAGGCCTCAGAACTTCACTGTAAGCTCTTTAAATCACTTTAAAGAGTGGACAGAATTTGCAACTGTAGGTGAAAAGCTGTTGGTAGAAGATTTGGGCTGAAAGAGGAAGCAGCTTAAACAGCAACACTAGGTAAGTGAAAATGTTCTGTCTCTATTGTGGAGAAATGAGAATGGAATCTCAGACAGCTAAGAAGAGTACAAGTCTAGAAATTCAGACTGTGTCAGGGAAAAGAAGCCAGTTCAAAGAGTCCCATATTCTAGTTTTTAAGTCTTTTCAATACTTACCCTGTTTCTTTCAATTTTTCTCTTACCATAGAATATTGGTTACAGTAGAAAAGGTGAAATGGTTGTGTGATGGTTATTGATTATTGATTAATCTAGTTATCCATCTAGAATAGTGTTTCTCGATCTCGGCAACTTTAAATTGTGCAGAATTGGAGTCCACATATGTTAAAGTCGATGAGATTGAGAAGTACTGACCTGGAAGGTCTTTTAAAAAGACCCCCCTCTCCCCAAAGAAAGTTTTCCCCATTGTGGATCTTTGGATTGCCCAGAAACAAAAAAAACCCCACTGTTCCTAAATCATCTGGCATGCTCTGACATCATTTATAAGAATATATTAAAATGATAATTGTGATTTTTTTTAAAAGAGTCAGTTTGCATGTGCATGTGTACACACATGCATGCACGTATGTGAAAGAAATAAAAGTTGATCCTTTGTTAGAAAAGCAGCGTTTTTAGTGTATGAGAGAAGAAGGCTGCATTCATGGAAGAAAAATAATTTTTGAAATTGCATGTAAGGCAATGGTAAATACAAATGTGATGGTTAAAAGGTCAAAAATCAAAACCTCTTAAATTTATAGTGTAATTGTATATTTTCATTGAACTTGGAATAACCACCCTGAATTCAACAGTCCTGTAAGTCAGCATCTTACTTTGACTAAGTATGTATTCCTGTTATTAAAATATTATTCACTTTAAATTTGATAGGTATGGATGTACACATATGTAAATACTGAAGCTTTACTGAGTTAACAGGTTGGGATAAAGGCATACCAAGAACTTATTGTTCTGACAACTCTATGAATAATTTCAGTCCACACCCATTAATGTTCACATAGTTAAATAATCCTAAGTAATGCAAAAGAAATCCACAACTTTAAAGGTACTCTGTTTGAAACCAAAGCAGAAATGTTAACAGATGTATCCATCTGCACAAGATTAGTTGACAATATTCTGGACTGGGAGGCCTAGCTTATGGCCACTCATGCTTTGGTCACTTCCCAGTTGGACTACTGCCACACTCACTATATAGAGCTGTCCTTGAAAACCCTCCATACATTATAATGCATAACTCATGCATTGTTGGCACCCCCTGGCACCCCATAGCTGTTGCACAAATCTTAGTTTCTTTCCAGGTGCAATTTAGGGTGCTGGCTATCATCTTTAAAGCCCTGCATGGCATGGGCCCAGGTTATTTGTGGAATCATCCCTGAAGGTGTCTGGCTGTTCCACCAGGTTGCATAGGGCAGGCCTGCTCCAGGTCCCTCAAATGTTGCTTTCTAATGAGACCAAGCAAGTGTGTATTTTCTGCAGCAGTCAGTGCCCCATGAAATATCCTTCCTTCTGGTCCAGAGACCCTTCAAACTTTCAGCCTTCTGGAACTCTGGAAAAAACTAGCTTTTCCCCTAAGCATTGGGAAACACTGAAGTTAAATTCAGGGATTATATACTGTATATTGATATATTGAAAAGCTTTGGTTGAGGCACAAGGTTCTTCTTTTACTTTTTTTTTTGAGAGGGGGATTATTGTTGTGAACATACCAAAGTTGTGGCAATGAGGATGGATGGCCATATAAAAAAATATCCTATTAATTACATTATATATTATAAATGAAATTCAGATACAGCGTTTTAAATAATCTGTTTTCTCTTGAAGCTCAGCCAACTCTGTGTCTTCATGTTTGCTAAAATACTTTTAAAATGAACATATTTAGACTTGCTTTTAAGGGGCGCAATTACGCTATCATGCAGAAATCTAAACAAGCAGGTAACATTGCCAGCTATCTTTTTCTCCTGTTTCTGACCTATATTTTTTCCATCTTACATAGCAACACTCGTAACAAATTGTAATGATGTCAACATGACGAAACATGCACATCATGCAAAAGCATGCACATCATGCAATTGCTTCACATCTGATGCAAATACTTAAATCACACACTCTGCATAATGACGTCATCATGCACATGTCATCAGTTGCCCCTACCATGTCCTCTGCAGATGCTCATGGTCTTACATATTTCTTTATGTTTGCAGTATCTTCTGATTCGTTTATCACTATTTTTGTCTCTTTCTCTCACACCACTTTCTCCTACATCTCTTTCTGTCTGCCCAATTTCATCCATGCTTCATATTTGTGAGCCTAATTCACTGCTACAGGTCATCATAAAATAGTAGATCCTTTCAGATGTTACAGTAAAACAACCTGCTTCAAAGGATGGGGAAGTCTCCTTGGCAGAAGGTGTTGAAACAAAAGCTGGATGACTATCTGTCAGAGATATTGTAGTAATGTATTTCTCTTCTGCACAGAAGATTGAACTAATTTCTAGTATCCCTAGCAATCCTGCACTCAACATTTTGAACAGCAAGCAGCCCTACCCTCTCCAAGTTGCACTAGTGACATCACTGAGGTTCTGATCTCCATGCTTATAGGAGAACTATCCAAACAAGAGGGCTTTTGTATATACAGTATTAAAAGGTTTCCATGTGAGCTGGCTTTTGATAGTTCAATTAAAGTTTTATTACATTACCTGGGCATGTGAATGTGTTCAGTTTCATAGAGTAGTGAGAGCAAAGCATTCAGTGTTATTTCTGATTACTGCTTTTAAAATTTTAAATGGCTTAGAACTTAGTTACAGAGGCTGACTCTTGTAGCATGAGTCAGACTGCTATAAGATCACTTGAGGAACTACTATTATTTCAGGTGAATAATAAACTTCTGACTTTTCCCCCAAGGACTTCCTGTTGAAAAATGCACCCTCTGGAGCTCAGTTTCCCAAGGATCAAGACTTTCCCTCCCTCCCTCCTTCCTTCCTTCCTTCCTTCCTTCCTTCCTTCCTTCCTTCCTTCCTTCCTTCCTTCTAAAAACAAAGATGTTTCTCATAGGTTTTCTGTACAGTTTTCTATAAATAGGCTTTTGCTGCTTTTACCAATGGGTTAAAGAATAATGGAATTAAAAACAAGACAGAATTCAAATATGAACTTTTTTATGCTTAAGTTGGGCTCTATACATTTTGACTTTAAGAAAAAATGTTAGTCTGCTATTGACATATTTATTTTCTTTATATAATAGATAAAGCTTTGGCAGATCTCTAACCTATAACTGGATAATACAGAAGGAATTGTTTGATGTAGGGAGGATATAATTAAATTTAGTAGATGGAAAAGAAAAAAAAAGTACTTTATTTCATCTAAGTCCCAACACGTTTCACTGGTTGCTGCAACTCGCTCTTGAGTCTTAAGCAAAACATTCTGACATGTTGTTCTGACATCTGCTGACTGGACAGGGGAAAAAGCCTGAAACAGTGTTCTTCACCTAGTGTGGAATAATATACCAAATTTCATTTTTTGATATTGCTAAATCTGTTTCCTGTTGCCAATCAGGTATTTGTAGTAATTTAGAAGTAAACAGATTCACTTAAAATGGTGGCCTAAAAATATATGCCATTCGAGAGAGGAAAACTTGTAAAGAAAACAAAATACATACAGGAACTAAGTTGCACTAAATCAGTCTTCCCCAAACTTGGTTGCAGAAATCAAATCCCCAAATGTTTATACATAGGGTTGCTGACTGAGGAATTTTGAGAGTTAAGGCTAAGTTAAGTCTTGTGGGTACTTAAATTGGGTAGAATTCGCCTAGAATCTCTTTGAATGCCACTATCATGCAATAATGATGTCATGAGTCTGCATTGCTCTAGAGTAAGCATGTCCAACCCATGGCCCATGGGCCACATGTGGCCCTGGTAAAGTAGTAACGCAGTCACACAAGACTATATAAAAATTAAAAATTAAGGAAGTTTTTTATTTTATATGCAATCCAAGACAATTCTTCTTCACTGAATGCAGCCCAGGCAAGCCAAAAGGCTGGGCACCCATGCCCTCAAGCAGGGGTGGGGAACTATCACCTTTTTACGATCTGTGAACTTCAACTCCCAGACCCATACTGGTTCAGGAATTCTGGGAGTTAAAATTCACAGATCGTAAAAGGGCCATACTTCCCCACCCCTGCCCCAAACCATTGCTTGGGGACTAAGCTCAGTACATAAAGTTGGTGGTATGCCAGGTTCTAGAAATACAGGGAAGGCATATAGGTCAAAATCAGATGATATCAAAGTTACCAGATTCAGTAGTAAAGCCATGCAAAATATATTTCTGGTTTGATTCATTAATTGACTTTTTAATCAATCACATTGCTAATCTCAGAACTCCTCTGAAGAGTTAATGCCACTTGCTCAAGATCACTGAACAAGTTTTCTGTATCGCTTTATTTCCTTCTAGTGTTTTCCTAAAGTTCTACACCCCTCATCTGGCAGCCCTACTGTACACTGTGCCTCTAAGTATATTTGCCCCATGTGTCCACCTGCAGGAACTTGATATTGCTTATTGATATTTGCTATGAGATTGGTAACTGTATATACACCAATCCAAGTATGAACATGGCAGCCTTGAATGTTAGTAGAGCATTTGGAAAGAACAAAAAAACAGAAATTAGATGGGCAGTTTTAAGCTAACAACACTGAGCAATTAGTTCCTTATTGTAAGAGGAAGGAACCTGAAATTGCCAGTACATGTTTTATGCAACTGAAAACCTAGTTGTGTTTTTTTTTTTCTGTCATCAGGGTGTGGATAGGGTGATAGGTAACATAACAATTCATACTTTGAATTCTTGTAGACACTTCCTGAAATCCTGTCAGAATAAACTGAAGAAAAAATATGCACAGGTGTAGCTTGAGGAATAATGATGATAATGATGAATACAATTAAAATAATGACAAATGCTTTTTAAATTTGAAAACATACATGTGGCCTGTCTCTTTTAGAAAATAATGCTATATTTATTGAACTATTG